AAATTGGCTTTGAGCTAGCTTTCAGTAACTGCGAGTACTCCTATTTCGGTGCTTTGTTTCTACTTGTTTGAGCTAGCTTTCAGTAACTGCGAGTACTCCTATTTCGATGCTTTGTTTCTACTTGTTTGAGCTAGCTTTCAGTAACTGCGAGTACTCCTATTTCGGTGCTTTGTTTCTACTTGTTTGAGCTAGTTTTTAGTAACTGCGAGTACTCCTATTTTGATGCTTTGTTTCTACTTGTTTGAGCTAGCTTTCAGTAACTGCGAGTACTCCTATTTTGATGCTTTGTTTCTACATGTTTGAGCTAGCTTCCAGTAACTGCGAGTACTCCTATTTTGATGCTTTGTTTCAACTTGTTTGAGCTAGCTTTCAGTAACTGCGAGTACTCCTATTTTGATGCTTTGTTTCAACTTGTTTGAGCTAGCTTTCAGTAACTGCAAGTACTCCTATTTCGGTGCTTTGTTTCTACTTGTTTGAGCTAGCTTTCAATAACTGCGAGTACTCCTATTTTGATGCTTTGTTTCAACTCGTTTGAGCTAGCTTTCAGTAACTGCGATTACTCCTATTTTGATGCTTTGTTTCTACTTGTTTGAGCTAGCTTACAGTAACTGCGAGTACTCCCATTTTGATGCTTTTTTTCTACTTGTTTGAGCTAGCTTTCAGTAACTGCGAGTACTCCTATTTCGGTGCTTTGTTTCTACTTGTTTGAGCTAGCTTTTAGTAACTGCGAGTACTCCTATTTCGATGCTTTGTTTCAACTTGTTTGAGCTAGCTTTCAGTTACTGCGAGTACTCCTATTTCGATGCTTTGTTTCTACTTGTTTGAGCTAGCTTCCAGTAACTGCGAGTACTCCTATTTTGATGCTTTGTTTCTACTTGTTTGAGCTAGCTTTCAGTAACTGCGAGTACTCCTATTTTGATGCTTTGTTTCTACTTGTTTGAGCTAGCTTTCAGTTACTGCGAGTACTCCTATTTCGGTGCTTTGTTTCTACTTGTTTGAGCTAGCTTTCAGTAACTGCGAGTACTCCTATTTCGGTGCTTTGTTTCTTCTTGTTTGAGCTAGCTTTCAGTAACTGCGAGTACTCTTATTTCGGTACTTTGTTTCTACTTGTTTGAGCTAGCTTTCAGTAACTGCGAGTACTCCTATTTCGATGCTTTGTTTCTACTTGTTTGAGCTAGCTTCCAGTAACTGCGAGTACTCCTATTTTGATGCTTTGTTTCAACTTGTTTGAGCTAGCTTTCAGTAACTGCGAGTACTCCTATTTTGATGCTTTGTTTCAACTTGTTTGAGCTAGCTTTCAGTAACTGCGAGTACTCCTATTTTGATGCTTTGTTTCAACTTGTTTGAGCTAGCTTTCAGTAACTGCGAGTACTCCTATTTTGATGCTTTGTTTCAACTTGTTTGAGCTAGCTTTCAGTAACTGCGAGTACTCCTATTTCGATGCTTTGTTTCTACTTGTTTGAGCTAGTTTTTAGTAACTGCGAGTACTCCTATTTTGATGTTTTGTTTCTACTTGTTTGAGCTAGCTTTCAGTAACTGCGAGTACTCCTATTTTGATGCTTTGTTTCTACTTGTTTGAGCTAGCTTTCAGTAACTGCGAGTACTCCTATTTTGATGCTTTGTTTCTACTTGTTTGAGCTAGCTTCCAGTAACTGCGAGTACTCCTATTTTGATGCTTTGTTTCTACTTGTTTGAGCTAGCTTTCAGTAACTGCGAGTACTCCTATTTTGATGCTTTGTTTCTACTTGTTTGAGCTAGCTTTCAGTAACTGCGAGTACTCCTATTTCGGTGCTTTGTTTCTACTTGTTTGAGCTAGCTTTCAGTAACTGCGAGTACTCCTATTTCGGTGCTTTGTTTCTACTTGTTTGAGCTAGCTTTCAGTAACTGCGAGTACTCCTATTTCGGTGCTTTGTTTCTACTTGTTTGAGCTAGCTTTCAGTAACTGCGAGTACTCATATTTTGATGCTTTGTTTCAACTTGTTTGAGCTAGCTTTCAGTAACTGCGAGTACTCCTATTTCGATGCTTTGTTTCTACTTGTTTGAGCTAGCTTCCAGTAACTGCGAGTACTCCTATTTTGATGCTTTGTTTCAACTTGTTTGAGCTAGCTTTCAGTAACTGCGAGTACTCCTATTTTGATGCTTTGTTTCATATTGTTTGAGCTAGCTTTCAGTAACTGCGAGTACTACTATTTCGGTGCTTTGTTTCTACTTGTTTGAGCTAGTTTTTAGTAACTGCGAGTTCTCCTATTTCGATGCTTTGTTTCAACTTGTTTCAGCTAGCTTTCAGTAACTGCGAGTACTCCTATTTCGATGCTTTGTTTCTACTTGTTTGAGCTAGCTTCCAGTAACTGCGAGTACTCCTATTTCGATGCTTTGTTTCTACTTGTTTGAGTTAGCTTTCAGTAACTGCGAGTACTCCTATTTCGATGCTTTGTTTCAACTTGTTTGAGCTAGCTTTCAGTAACTGCGAGTACTCCTATTCCGATGCTTTGTTTCAACTTGTTTGAGCTAGCTTTCAGTAACTGCGAGTACTCCTATTTCGATGCTTTGTTTCAACTTGTTTGAGCTAGCTTTCAGTAACTGAGAGTACTCCTATTTCGATGCTTTGTTTCAACTTGTTTGAGCTAGCTTTTAGTAACTGCGAGTACTCCTATTTTAATGCTTTGTTTCTACTTGTTTGAGCTAGCTTCCAGTAACTGCGAGTACTCCTATTTTGATGCTTTGTTTCAACTTGTTTGAGCTAGCTTTCAGTAACTGCGAGTACTCCTATTTTGATGCTTTGTTTCTACTTGTTTGAGCTAGCTTCCAGTAACTGCGAGTACTCCTATTTTGATGCTTTGTTTCTACTTGTTTGAGCTAGCTTTCAGTAACTGCGAGTACTCCTATTTTGATGCTTTGTTTCTACTTGTTTGAGCTAGCTTTCAGTAACTGCGAGTACTCCTATTTCGGTGCTTTGGTTCTACTTGTTTGAGCTAGCTTCCAGTAACTGCGAGTACTCCTATTTTGATGCTTTGTTTCAACTTGTTTGAGCTAGCTTTCAGTTACTGCGAGTACTCCTATTTTGATGCTTTGTTTCAACTTGTTTGAGCTAGCTTTCAGTAACTGCGAGTACTCCTATTTTGATGCTTTGTTTCTACTTGTTTGAGCTAGTTTTTAGTAACTGCGAGTACTCCTATTTCGATGCTTTGTTTCAACTTGTTTGAGCTAGCTTTCAGTAACTGCGAGTACTCCTATTTCGATGCTTTGTTTCTACTTGTTTGAGCTAGCTTCCAGTAACTGCGAGTACTCCTATTTTGATGCTTTGTTTCAACTTGTTTGACCTAGCTTTCAGTAACTGCGAGTACTCCTATTTTGATGCTTTGTTTCAACTTGTTTGAGCTAGCTTTCAGTAACTGCGAGTACTCCTATTTTGATGCTTTGTTTCTACTTGTTAGTTAGTCTCATGTTAGTTATGGTGTTTGTGCCTCGTACCGATCTTTTGAGTTAAGCCAGTTGCTACTGAATTTTACAGTTTGTTCTCATGTTGTGCTGTTACACCACTGTCCCAGGTTAAGGGAGGGTTGAGTGCTCACAAACATGTTTAACCCCGCCACATTCTTTATGTGCCTGTACCAAGTCAGGAGCCTGTAGTTTAGTGATTGTCGTTGGTTATTGTCCGTCAAAGTTGTTTTTCGTAAAATGTTTTGTTATAAAAAATGAAAACATCACGGTATAAATGGCATGCGTCCGAAGCGCTTTTCTGGATTTGCCTTAATCAGGAAAGTTCATAGCCGAATATTTGAAAGCCAAGGCTGTATAAGTACCGAAACAGTTAAAGAGCTATATGACCAAAAGGGACCTAAAAATAGCCAAATCAATCAAAGGTCATTTCTTTATAATTTCAAAATTTATAAAACGGAAATTTTAAGAATTTTTTTTTATCAATCATTTCAGGTAATCACTTCAGGCGCGGAATCGGAATAAGAATATGTAATTAATAGGTAAAATTACAACCATTTTTTTTTGGTCAAAATATGTGGTCCTCACTCCTAATTCTCAGGAGCTAGACCTACTTATTATCAAATACTGGATCCTGAATTTACATAAGAAATATATTAATGTTTGAGTTCTCATCATCACCATTGCCAAAGCTGGGACTAACTCTCATTGGAATAACCTTGATACGTAAACCCGTGAAGCAGATACAATAGGAAAACTTAAAACGAAACTAAAAAACTTAAAATTCCAATAGTAATATATACATGCCTAAACAATATGAGTTTGGAAGTCGCAAGTTCAACATCATTCTTACCCAACTCCGATGTTCTGCTTTATACTAAAATGTTTAAACTAAAATATAAAGCTGGTACTAAGTGTTGTTGAGGCAAAGTGTCAGCATATATCACGCTTCATTATACACAAAAATAGACTGATCATCTAAAGACTTGTTTTCTAATCTTATTTATAAAAAAATATAATTCTGAAATAAAAAAGAAAAAAAAGGTAAATTCACTTAGTTTTTTATTTGTTCTATCTAACACCATTTTGTACTATAAAATCTTTAATTAAACAGTCTCAGTACCTTATTTTTTGTCTTCTAAGGTAGCAAATTGCCAATATATATGTGAATTAACAATGCACAGTTACTTGTAACAATATATAGATACTTTATAGGATCATCCCTATCAATTTCCAGTGCAATTCTTACATGGATATACTGATTAAAGGTGAAAGGTCAGATAGAAATAAAGTTATTAAAATTTAAAGACTTGTCTGTGTAAGCTATAATGAAATAATATTAAAGAATTGTCCATTAAGTGGAACAGTAAAATATTAACAGGTTTACCTGTTAAAAAATGCACCAAAACATGTGTAATCATTTTGAAATTTGAATAGTCGTACAGTATTATAATAAACAGTTTTTAAAGATCTTTTTATGCACTTTACAACACTAACCCATTTAGTCAATACAAAACAAAAAATAGGTGTGTATTCTACGCTAAATATTATTGGTTGTTAACTATAACACGACCTTGACCATTCTTAGCTGTGTTAACTGTTTATATATTACTATGTATGGAAAGTAAAATTCTGGAGGTAAGTTTTAGTGGTTACACAAATTAACTTTTAAAAAAATTTTGGGGGACAAAAATAACTGAATGACAGATTCACTTCAAATTGATGACAGTATGAATACCTTATTTGTCGAAGACCGAACAACTGGATTGTAATATTTTCACTGTACACAGATCTTGATTAGTCGTAATATATATATATATATATGTATTATAGGCCCATTTCAGCTATGATTTTCAATTATATATCATTATATATTGGTAAAATAAATAATGTCTATATCATTCAAAAATTGTGAGACTTGTACCGAAATGCTGGTTCACAATATGTCACATGGCGTAGATCACAAAATGTTACATGGCGTAGATCACAATATGTCACATGGCGTAGATCACAATATGTGTCACATGGCGTAGATCCAGACATTTTAATTTGGGGTTATAGCTGTTTTCCTTGGGAAAAGGGGACGGTCGGACTGAACGAGTTAAAAAAATCAGTACGGTAGTCAGCCCCCGTGACCAACAATTAAAACACCAATGTGCCAATGTATCACTTACGTCCAATTTAGGTCAACAGTATACTTAAGGATCTGCGAGACAACAACTGGGGTTCTACCCTGGGTAATTGATAAAACATTCCCTGTTTGTGTGTTAAAATGATATGCTGAGACCAGTTATCAGTCTGTTTAAAAGTGTATCGGTTCCTGACAGCATCTAACCCCAAAACGGCATCATGTTTTCTCACAAGGAATCCAAGATAGCACTTCAGACAGGTCTAACAAGTTACAAGGCAAAACGAAATGATGTTATCTACAGTATTTACTGTAATGATGGATTTTTAAGATTTAATAAAAGGATAGAGTGGGGTTGCGGACCCCAAAATGTATATATATTTTCCCCATCGTTACTGCTTGAAAGCAATACGAGGTAATTGGCGTCTCAAAAGGAGGGGCACACGTTTTTAATCCACTTCTGTTAAGTGTAGACAAATTTGTTAAAGTAACGATTACATCCTCAAATTAGATTCTCGGGACAATCTGAAACATTCTTTTTATAGAAATCACTTTGAAAATCATAGCTATTAGAAATGGACATCTCATTATCATTTATTGGACGAGGAGTTGGCCGTTGTTAATTTACAAAAGTAATTTAAAAAATGACGTTTTGCAGGTAAGTATTTTGCGATATTGCATAAAAATATGTACCCTCAGTATTGAGAATCAGAGTAAAGTCTGGAAAATCGTTTACATAAGATGATTCTCATGTCCAGTATCTGTATCTTGTAAATTTCGTGGATAGCATTTAAATTGATTTTTTAAAATATATCTTTGAACTTTAAAACAATAATGTTTAATGATAGGTGATCATATTACTGTGTCTGTATAATTATGAAAGAAAGGCAAAAGATATACCGAAAGAAAATGAGATCTTGAACATACTGACAAATTGTGCCCCCCCCCCCCCCCCCCCCCCCCCCCCCTTTCCGCAAAACTTCCAAATGCAAGAAAACTATATATATATATATATATATATATATAACAAATTGAACAACATTATTATTGTACGTCAAAGTAATATTTTTAGACTTTTCTAATGCTTTCATCATTCAATTTTATTTAACCGGTCTTCCATGCACATGGCCCCTTTTTCAACCACTTTAAGAGATTTCAAAACCATAAATCATATATCTTTTTGTTAATTTAATTCAAATCGTAATCGTAAGGACCAAGATTTACCAGTATACTGGTATAAACGTCCTTATACACCATTGATTATTTTTTGTTTGTTCATTGAAATATTTTTCTTATATCTACTTCAAGTGGTCTGAATAGTGAATTAAATGTATAATAATATGTAGGTCAGTAGTGAATTAAATGTATAATAATATGTTGGTCAGTATTTACAATGACCACATAGTTTTACCTGAGGTCGACTGTTACTATCAATGCATTAAAATGAAAAATGGATGACCTTTCGAGAATTCAGTTTTGTTAATGAAATTTGATCGAAATTGTGTTTACTGTTGCATTTTCGACATTGTTTCGGAATTTCGACATTTCTTTTGAAATTTTGATATTGTTATAAAAAATATTTAAAGTTATTTTACATATTTAACATAGCCTCGGTTAAAATTTTTCAATACACGTACTAATTTCCCCGTTTGTCATGTTTTCTGATTTTCTATTCAACCAAGGATTTATATATCTTAATATATAAATTCTTGATTCAACACAGTTTGATTTGAGTCTTCATCTTGTTACATAGTTGGAACAGTCAGTCCACTTCCGTTTTTTTGTTGTTGTTGGGTTGCTGTCTAATTGACGTATAACACACTTCTCCTTTTAGTCGTTTCTTTATATTAGCATTGAATCAATCTCGGTCAATGGAAAGTATGAATCGAGAAATCCGTTTCTTGTGTGGAGTAGCGATATTTTCTTTTGTAAATGAGATGCATTGTGGAGAAATCTCAGACGAATGTTGACATTTGTAGGAATAAAACAAAATTCATCGTAAAATATTTGTTTATTCTCTTTAAAAACATAGACGTATTTAACAGGATAATCGTATTTTATAACATGCCATGTATTTTGAATCTTTTATCCCAAGTACGAGTAAATATGCATTGGAATTAAATAAAACCTATTTGCACGATCTATAATTTTGAGGTTTCCAAATACTTCGACAATGATGTACGAAAGATGGTGGAATGGCTATTGAACGTATACCATTGCATTCTACGCCATAATCACTTGTAATAGGTTACAAATGCTATTGTTTCTTATATGAGTGCGACGTTTTTTCTAATAGAATAGCGATATGCTTTTATTACGAAAAACTTTTCCAATGCGATATATTTCTGATAGAAATGCGATACTTTTTTCATATGAAAAAGATACAATAATATGGCACACTACATCCAAACAAAGTACATCGACAACTATTCATGACATATTCGATGGTACAGGCAAAATAACAGTGAAATTTCGTATAGATGATGTACGTACATAAGGAACCAATTATACGCTTATAAAGAAGTAGACACGACGTTCAATATCCTCTGCTCGTCTATCAATTTTGGGTTTTCAAATCAATATTGCACAGTTTTTACCACCTTCCAATTTCCGATGAAAACACAATCTGGCTAGTGTCAGTCTAGAATAATAAAGTGTTGACACAGATATATGTATCATCTGTCATGTCTATATGTAATTTTAATAGTTAAATGCAATTGTTGTCTCTATATTTGATGTAATGTTATTGCAATTTTATCGAATTATGCATGATGATAAAAATAAAGCCCAATAACTGCATTCGATATGTTAAAATGTGAAAAGTAAGGACATTATTTTGTTCACTAGGAATCGTTTTTCTTTTCGATTACTTGAAGTAAAGTTTATTTTCCACCGATCATCTATTTGACATGCCTGAAAATTGATATTATCTAAACAAATTTCTAAATAAACACATTAAATGTATACATAAAATTGAGAATGGAAATTGGGAATGTGTCAAAGAGACAACAACCCGGCCAAAGAGCAGAAAACAGCCCAAGGCCACCAATGGGTCTTCATCTCAGCGAGAAAATCCCGCACCCGGAGGCGGGCTTCAGCTGGCTCCTAAACAAAAATGTGTACTATTTCAGTGAAAATGGACGTGACACTAAACTCCGAAACATATAAATGAACTAAAATTAAAAAAACATACAAGACTAACAAAGGCCAGAGGTCTTGAATATACACACTTTTATAAATGTGTGTTAGAATTAAAAGTTTTTAGGACTTAAACACTAATTTCTAAGCTAAACATGATCCTAAACACTTTCTTCAATTTAAACATGTTACGAAATTAAACATGTAAAAAAAAGTGTGCAAACAATGTACAAGTATTTAGAATTGTGTTTAGGATTTAAACACCATTTATACAGTTTACATGTAGTATAAGGATATCGGAAATGCATTTTTTGGACGAGTTCATATAGAAATTTTGATAGATGTTATGTCGATGCCAACAATTTGAACGAAAATTTGGGGCGATTTATTCAATATAACTTGAACTTTTTTTTCTAATATAAAAATGTATAACAAAAACACCGAACTCCAAGGCAAATTCATTAAGGGGAAGTCCATAAAAACTGACAAAATCAAACGCTCATGATCAATAAACGGAACAAGTGAAAAACATCTGCCATATAACTTTTATCTAATACAAATATGTTTTAAGAACAATTAAGAATTTCGAAAGATGTCTCGAAAATTCATTTTGACAGTAAGTGCTACCTCATATAACATGAAACGTATAGTTACAATAAAAACATACCGCAACTATATTAAAAATATATCGCATCTACAATGAAATAAATAGCATTTAATTATTTTTGTACAAAAGAAAAACGTAGCAGTACAATTTGTACAAGGACATAAACTTTTGCTATTACTTTGATATTGGGCATATTTCAAGGCTTAATTTTTGTTCACATTTAAATGATAGGTTAACATTTTATATGTCCATAAAGAAATCTTACCGTGTTGCTCGTTTAACTGGTACATTTGACATTTTTCCTTTAAAACGATCTTAATCTGTTTCACACTCTTTTGATTAATGGTAATACATAAAACTCTTCTGTTTGTCGCGTGAATTAATTTCGGACTGAACGGTTTTATATATTTTAATATTAAAACATTTTTTCACTGCAAAAAGTATCTTTTTCATCATGGAGTGTCTGCATATTCATTATTAACAATTTCGTATTAGAAAATATCGCGACTCCACATAAGAAACGGTTTTCTCGATTCGCACTTTCCATAGACTGAGTCTTATAGATTTATGCTAGTACTTTGTTCTATATAAATATTATGCAAATTATCTACCGTACATTCATATTTGTGGTTAACCATAGTTAATTATCCAGGTGAATTTTTTAATATTTCCACTAGTTCTATAGTATGCATTTTTAGTGCATTATCGTAAAAAGTGTTATAATCCTGATAACTATAAAATGGCGCTATTTGACAGAAGCTCGTTTTTTATGAAAATAAGGCCGATTGAAGTTTATTTTAAAGTACCATATATTTTTGCAATGATTAGAAGAAAAAGGACTTTGGTCAATTAATTCTAAATATGTTAGCAAAATTCGTGGTAACAGTAACAGGTTTTATTTTCTTATTTTTACTGATAATCTAACATGGCAGGGAAGCGAAAAAATATCTGAGACATTTCTTGTTTAAATAAGCATGTAATTTCTACAGAGAAGTTTTTGCCGATCAACGTTATTTATTTATGTGAAGTCTTTATTCAATCTCCCATATTTTGACCTATGATCTATCGGTCCCATGTTTGAATTAAAATTTATGGGATAAAAATACGATGACAAGAACAACTATCTGACCAGTAAACAATAAAGTAAGAAATGATAAACGAAAAAAAAGACAAATGTTAGTTATATTTCTTTATTGGTTTCAAATCATATTTTACAGAATAATTCTTCTTCAATGTTTATTTCCGGACTCTGATCTCCGTTTGACCGGGAGTTGCAAAACGAAAAAGCACTATAGCAGTTTTATTTCTTTTGATTTTGATTTTTATGTTTGTGTTTTTATATTTTTCATTGTAATGTTTGAATGCAAATGTAAATAAATACATCCATTTCTAAATGTCAGCACCAGGACACCAAATAAAAGCTTAAATACAGACCTTGATTTAACAGTAAAAGCAGAAGCAATCTGCGTAAAGTTTGAACCGCTTCATTGCATCCCAGAAATATCAATATAACATTCAAGATACCAAATTTCTACACCAGATGCCATTTCGACAATAAATGTCTCTTCAGTAATGCTCGAGGACAAAATATTTGAAAATTCAAAACTTATCAAAAAACGAAGAGCTTATAAACCAAAAATGAATAAGTATAACCAAAGCTGGGCACGGAATCAGAGCTTAGCAATATCTTGTGCCATTTAGGCACTTATATGACCCATATTGGTTGTTATTTCATTCAATAACTGCTACCAAGTTACCAACTTCCTACGAACCTCAGCTCCCTTCTGTTACAGAACTCTTATCTTCATTCGCTTTAGCTTCTCAGTATAAACAGTATGAAAGGGAACGAAAGAGTCTTTAATCGATGTAAAGGATAAGCTTCATTTACGTTCATACAGTTTGAGTGTCTGTAATCCATACTAAAACCCAAAATTAACTTTTCAAAATTTTCGAACGAATTACTAACGTTATATATATATCTCTTGACGTTGTTGTATTTTTGTTTAAAATAGATCGATTAAATTTAAAGGGGAAATTAGTAGATATTACAGTACCTGTTTCAATATCTAATTTATCCTGTACCAAGTCAGGAATATGGGAGTTGTTATCTAATAGTTCGTTTCTATGTATGTTGGCGTTTGATTTTGTTGCACTTCAGTGTTCTTGTTGTTCCTTTGTTTTCCTCTTATAGTTGATGTGTTCCCTCGGTTTTAGTTTGTAACCCGGATTTGTTTTCTCTCAATCGATTTATGACTTTTGAACACTGGTATACTACTGTTGCCTTTATTTATCTTCAGTGGAAAACCATGCTCATGTTTGATGTAAGTCATTTTCTTTATTGGAACCCACAGGAACAGTAGACTCTTATCTCAGACGAAATATTTAATAATTTCTTCCTACGCTTGACCTTCAAATCTAGAATCATTGGCATCTTTAGCTCTTTTCTATTTCCTTGTTGTTGCATTTTTACCTGCGTCGTTATTGTGGAGAGGAGGTCTAATAACAGCTCGACTCTGTCCATTCGAAACACATATAGGTCTTCTAGCTTGTGTTATCTGTAACTCTAACAATTTTCCTTCAACATTACTCAAACTTTGCACAGTGATCTCACACAGAGTAAAGATGTGCACCTCATATCTTGGACATATTCAAATTATTTTTCTCAGATTTCTCATGTGTTGAAATGTTGTTGTCATTGAATGATGTAGAGGGTACATCGTTTGTGTTTTCTGTAACATCATCAGTACTACATAGGCAATCTAAAACTTTACAACTTTAGAATACTAATGGATTCAGTCAATGGTTATGCCAGAAAATGGGCATAACTTGAAAAAAAGAAGACATAGATACTTTTTCTGAAGTTATTAAGAGTATGAGGTCGTTAATACAACTTAATGGGTCTATAAACAGGCAAGCTTTATATTACATTCAAAAACCCAAAAGTTGCTAAACACCTGTCCTACCTTCACGAGAACTATATAATTGTCCTTGCAGACAAAGCCTCGAAAATATAGTTTTTTATATTTAACTCACTTTACATAAACTGCTTGATAAAGGCATTAGGTATTGACAATTCATTGTAAACCAAACATAAACTCTCAAGACACTTACTAAAGAGGAAATCTTGAACAATCATAGGTCTGTTTTTGTGCTCATCTTGAAATTCAAATAAAGACGAAGAACAGGATCTTCCTTCACGCTACTGGATATTTAAATCATTGGCACAAAAGTGTTCTTACAAATAGCGTTATACTACTGGATCTGCTAAATGTTAATCGCATTTATCCCATCGAACTTGAACAAGTATAATACAGATGCAGTGAATTTTGCATCAAATCTTTATTCACCTCTTAAAATTGGCAACAAGTGTCTGTTGAGAACTAAATCTTTACTACAAAAGAGATGATTTCAGCTTTCCAATTGTGAACTATTAATTTTTATGTAGAACATTACAACAACGTCTACATATGGAGTATATATATCTCCCAGTTGATACGATATTTCAGAGCTTGCGTTTCCTATCACTATTACCTAGCTTGAAAGAGGATCGTTGTCTACAAGGAAGCGATTGAACCAGAGTTTCCTAATAGTAAAGATTAAATCGTCCCTTTGAAAGTTTTACGGCCGCTAAAATGATTTAGTTGAGCGTTATGGAATATATGTGCGATGACCACGGATATATACCTATGTCGTAGCCAAAATCCGATCTCTTTTCTCGATTGTGACATTACCGATTTCGTCTTATATCGACATTTATAAGACGACAGATGTCACTTGTTTAGCAGGATCTGACTACCCTTCTAGAAGACCTGATACAACGCCCGGTTTTAGGTTGGGTCCATGTTAATTTGTCTTTTGTTTTCTGTGTAGTCTCTTAAGACTGTCGTTTGTCTGTTAGCCGATTTCTTTTTTTTTTTTTGCAATTGTATTGTTTGTTTTTCTTTGTCTTATGGTTTTTGATATTTATTTAAGATTACGGTCCTTTATGTAATACAAAAATGATGTTCTCGTCTATTATCGTTCAAACATAAATTCTATTCCATGTTCCTGGATTTATACTTTACAGCTAAATTAGGTAACTTACCAAAAAAGAAGAGACAAACCTCCCACAGATCGTAATTGCTCTAATTAGTTATATCTTGCTTCAGTGTTGTAAATAAATAATAATGCTTTATTTAAAAACACTCTGTCCCATACACATGTGAAACAAACAAGAGATAATGATAATTATAATACTTTAACTAACTTTGAAACGAATAAAGATATTTTGTTTAGTACCTTTATATTACACCAATGATAGCAATCCTTTCATTTTTGCTGTGCTGGGATATTTTACATATTACTCTGGAATGTATTGATTTCTGATATTTTTTACTAAGATGGAATTGCATTCGAATAAGTGATGATATGCATTACCAATAGCATTCGAACACATATGACATACCCTCTCTTCTTTCTGAATATTGTACCACCTACCCAGCTCTACTGGAATTTTCACATTACAGCATCCTAGTCTAAAATATATTAGCGTAAAGATAGAACCATTCTTAAGTCTGAAAATTTGTACACTACCATTGGGACTACCATATTCATGCATTTTGATTGTTTGCACCTTTGACATTATGTTGACAAACTTCATAGACTGAAGAATGATCTGATCGTTAAAGCACTGAAGCCAGACATGACTAATCAGAGCAATTAAGATTTGTATGTTGTGTGAGGTTTGACTTTAATTTCCAATACTGAAGGCATTTAAGACAGTTCTTCAAAACAGCACCGTTCAACGTAGGTCCATACAAGGCATTAGGAACATGTTTTAATGGGGTTCCTGCAAATTCTCAATTTTAAGCTATGCACATACATGAGTCGTATACCAACATTTAAAGAAATTTCTACAATTGATAGATATGTTTCATGCTATTTTAAGAATTCTATAAAAATATTTTTTTTATTGGTATTGATTAATTTGAAGATAAAAAAAAGCTTTGTTTATAAAACACAAAAAAAAATCTAGAATGAATGTCAATAATATTTTAGATGTCAACAATTTTACAAAGAGTACATGATGTGGATACTAGTCTAATTAAGCCAACAGATAATGTAGTTCATGTACAGACAAACAAATACACACACACAGATGTCGCTGAACATTCAGATATGACGTCTTGTTGGATAATAATTGATAGCAAAGTATATGATGTCACCAAGTTCTTGTATGAGGTACGTAGTTTATAGTTATATTTGTTCCTGTGTGCTTCCGATATTCCACTAAAGTTGACAACCATTATGACGGCGTGAAGAAGAAAAAGGGTATTGTAGATGATCAGAGCTTGTGAGTACTGGGGGATAAATATTGCATTCAATTTGCATTGTGAACTTTGGTTTTTAAAAGCAAAGAAACATATTTGGGCAAATGTGAATTGAGTAGTCCCGCTTTGTCCGTACAATTTAAGGCAAACAACGGTTTATGCCGGGCAATTCTGTCTGCAACTTCTGTAACATAAAAAAAAATCTGTACAAGTATTGTACCACACACGCTCATCATTTTTTTTTCAATTGGATGTATGAATTCATTATTAATACATAAATTGACATGATTGTAGGATCCAAAGAATGTACATCTTACTGCTACTTCGTTTTGTTTTTTCACAAAAAAAAACATTTAAAAATAGCTAACCAGCAATCGGGGGTTGTTTTTACTTTCTGCAATCTTTACCACCAAAACTAGACTGACAAATAAGGATATCCAATAGTATTTGAACGACAATTCAAACTGTAACATACAAATGTACCAATGATTAGGTAGATAATACCAGAACAGGTGTGGTAAATAAAAAACAAAATTCTAAATCTAGAAGATACTATGATTTTGTAATACGCAAACCAGACAAAATCAAATACATAAAGACAGATATTTGAACAAACAAGAAAGTACATAGTTGAGCAGTGAATAAGAAAGACTTTGGAAACCTCCCTTTAAATCACGTGTAATACCAGGTCCACCAGAAAGTTCAACTTTCACCAAACAAGAACGATAGTGGCTCAAAATTTGTAACATATCCTGCCTCGTATTTGATACCCAGAATAAATGAAATAGCTTAAATTTTTCGCTCTCATCACTTGTCGTCAATCGTCGTTATCCATCGGCGTCTGTTAACTTTTACAAAAATCTTCTCTGAAACTACTTGGCCACAATCACCATTGGAGTATCTTGTTTAAAAAATGTGCTGGCCAACCAACATGGCCGACTTGACTATAAAATAAAACATAGGGGTAAAACGCAAGTTTTTTCTTTAGAATGTTGAGATCAACATATCGTTCATTTAATCAAAAGTGCCAGACGACTTCTTATAGGAGTTATTGCCCTTAAATAATGAATTTTACAATTTTCTTACATTTTTTGCCTAATATCTTGAACACTATAAAAGATAGAGAGAAATGTGAAATAGCAAATATTATCAGCAAGACAAGTCCGGTCTGTGTTTTTGTTACTTGTTTTTCTGCTTTGTACCGATCTGATGAGTTAAGCCCTTTTCAACTGCTTTTTATAGTTTGTTCATATGTTGTACTGTTTCACCACTGTCCCAGGTTAGGGGGAGGGTTGGGTGCTCGCTATAATGTTTAACCCCGCCACATTCTGTATGTGTCTGTCCCAAGTCAGGAGCTGTAATTCAGTGGTTGTTGTTTATTGTTGCATATTATATTTGTATTTTGTTCATTGTTTTTTACATAAATCAGGCCGTTAGTATTGAATTGTTTTACATTTGTCATTTCGGGGCCTTTTATATCTGACTATGCGGTATGGGTTTTGCTCGTTGTTGAAGGCCGTACGTTGACTTATAGTTGTTAACCTCTATGTCATTTGGTCTCTGGTGGAGAGTTGTTTCATTGGAAATTATACCATATCTTCTTATTGTTATAAGATCTACAAATAAGTCAAACATTACGGAAATCGTCCGATGACTTTCTATTGGAGTTATTGCTCTTTAATGACGAATTTTACCAGTTGTTTGCGTTTTTGCGTAATAGCTTAAAAACTATAATAGATAGTTAAAAGCTTCAATAATCAGAAATGATCAGCAAGACAAGATCTACAAATAAGGCAAATTTTGCCGAAATCATTAGAAGACTCAGTTTAGGAGTGAATGCCCTTAAATGACGACTGTTTACCCTTTTTGTGTTTTGGGAAAAAACTAAAGAAGATAGAGAGAAACTGTGAACAGAAACAAATTATCAGCAATACAAGATCAACAAAAAAGAGGTTTTTGTCATGATTTTTTTAATTCTAGTCCACAATGTTAGAGAGTGTCAATTGTTAAAGATTCACATAGACCTAGATAAGCGAATTAGGCTCTTTAGAGCCTCTAGTTTATTTCTACTTACAAACATTGATATTTGTTTCGCTGTAAATTTCGATAGTAGAAATCAAAAAAATAATTGAACAACACAACAAATGACACTTACAACCAATCCACAGGGACAATCAATAAAAATAATGAAATGATCTATATAAATAAAAATCAAATCAAATCAAATATTTTATTATTCCAATCAGGGTCCCACAGCGGGCATTTACAACTAACAATCAACAATTATGATTAGATATGACAATATAAGCAACAAACATGAGACATTGTACAGCATATTATGTGACAGATATTATATATAAGTTTTTTATAACATGAAATCATCATATTAAAATGTTTCAGCATCCTGGTGGATATGATATACTTCTGGAACACGCTGGAAGGGACGCGACATGTGCCTTCGAAGAGGTGGGACATTCCAGAGATGCACTACAAATTCTTCAAGATTTTTGTATTGGCGATGTCGTGTATGTAAATTAAAGCAAATCTAGACCCTTTTATAAACATCACCCTGATTTATATTGATGTGTTGTTCTTTTAAAAATAAATACAATCGCCTGTTCTGCCAACGTAAACACGCAGAACATTAGAATGTTTTTATGATGTTTGTTTTTAAATGAGGTAAGCGAAGGTTATATGAGGTACATGTGAGATGTGAAATTAGTAGCATGCTATTGGTAGTCACAGCATTTTTTTTAATCACCAAAACATCGCCGCGAATTAGGCTGGAACCCACTTGAACTTCCAACAAACCTTTTAATTAAAATAAGTCCTGTAATTTTGTTCTCCCGGTAAGTCCGTTCATTTTGTTAATGTAACGTTAAATGAACGGACTTACCTGCCGATCAAAATTACCGCCCAGCATCGTACTTTGTTTAAATATTCTATATCATATACAATCATAATCATGTGGAAAGCAATTAAGTCATGACCACAGGAAAACCTAGAATGTTATCGTGTACCTCGGAAGGGTAGTAGTTCCTTTTCTACTTATGACAGCCGTCGTATTACTCCTGTAACAATAGTACGTATGCCAATCACATAAGGGACAAAGCTTCATACATTAGTGGATTAGCAAATTTCTTGTTTATCTCCCAGATATTATCAAATTAATGAACCTACACTACGTAAATGGTGTCCTCTACGAGTTCTCGTTGTACTGTGACTTCCACTTTGCAACACAACATTGCAGCAATACATTCAGTTTGGCATGTATATTTTTGAGACCAACTTTAATCAATTTAGGTTCTTGTTCTAACTCAGTATATGCTAACCCTCATGACAATGCAAGGGGCCTCGGTGGCTGAGTGGTCTAAGTAGTTACTACTGTAATCACTAGCCAGTCAACACTGAGGTTGTGAGTTCGAAACCCGCTCGTGCGGGTGCACTCGACTCCTATTTTAATTGACTAGGATTGTCAGTTTTCCTATCGAAGGTCGGTGGTTTTCTCCGGGCACTCCGGCTTCCTCCACCAATAAAAACTGGCCGCCACGAAATAGCCCAAAAGCGGTGCTAAAAAGTGGCGTTAAAACACCAAAAATCAAATCAAATCAAATCATGACAATGCATAATAATAGTTATATTATGAATCAGTAATATAATTTAGTGTTTTGATTATTTCAGAAGCACCAAATAAAGGATAACCAATAAGAAAGACGATACCAATTATTCTGTCTCAGATTGTACAGTGACCGATTATAGTATTTTATATCAGCTGGCAGCATCCTTGTACAGTAATTGATAATAGTATTTTATATCAGCTGGCAGCATCCTTTTATAATAATTTATTTCGTGCATATTTGATTAGTTGAATGATTTGTACTTTTTATATAATATTGATGTCGACACAGTAATAATAATTATAAAGTGTACCAAATTGTAAAATCTCTGGCTCCTTTTTGGAAAGTCAATTTGCAATTTAAAAACCAATGACTATTGTTACTTTTATCAGTACATTCTTATCTTTATCTCTACTTCTATGCAGTCAGAGAGTTTACAACTCCATTGTTAAAATGTTTAGTGCTCTCTGTCAGATACTGGGGAATGGGAGATCAAAATGTATAAATAATGGAACAAGGACACAGGGAAATTTCACTCACATGAATTTCATGTGAATCTCACGTGAATTTTTATACGTGAAACTACCGTGAAATCAGTTCATGTGATTTTCACGTGAATTTTGAAAATAAAGTTATTCAAATAACATCTAAATTTTCAAATTTAATTAAAATCATGAAAAACACCAATTTTTTTTTTTTGGAAGTTCACATGAAATTCACGTGAAAAATTTCACGTGAGATTCATATGAATCTCAATTCACGTAAAACTCACATGAAAATTTTCATGTGAGTTTCATGTATAAGCTCGTTTAGGTGAATTTCTCATGAAATTTTTCATGTGAATTTCACGTGAGATTCATGTGAAATTCATGTGAGCAAAATTTGCCTGTGTATGGTTATTATATTTAACATTAATAAGACCTACCTCTGTATTGCGTTATATTACTTGTTTGTTACTGACCTCATACTCCTGGTAACTTTGTCACATTTAATCATCAGTGGTTTATTGACATGTTTGTTTTATACTTTGATTGTTATTGTTTGTTGTTAAACTGTTGGACAGATTTTCTTAAATATTTGACAAGAGTTTACGCTCAAAGGAATGCTGTGAAATTCAGTTTTTACTCTATATTTTTGCTTCATCAAAGCATATCAAACTGTATATACACATGTAAATTTCGTCTGCTCTTCTCCCCGAGAAAATCAAATAGATTTCCACGTATTATGGTATACCATTGTCCGTCCGTCCGTCGTCAACATGTCGGACAATAACTCAAAAACGCTTTAACCAATTTGCACGAAACTTTTGTGAATTGTTTATATCAATTGACTTGAGCTTCCTTTCGATTTTTATAAATTTTAGATTTTACGTTTCCGAGTTATGGGGTTTTATTCGTTAAAAAGGAGGATTTCCCAGTTTTCGGACAATAACTCAAAAATGCTTTGAGCAGTTTTCATGAAACTTTGGTGAATTGTTTATATCAATTGATATGAGCTCCCTTTCGATTTTTATAAATTTTAGATTTTATGTTTCCGAGTTATGGGGTTTTATTCATTAAAACAGGGGGATTTTCCAGTTTTCGGACAATAACTCAAAAGTGCTTGACCAGTTTTTCATGAAACTTTGGTGACTGGTTTATATCTATTAAAATAACCTCCCTTAAGTTTTTTTTATAAATTTCTGAAATGACATTTAGGAGTTATGGAACCTATTCTTTGAAAAAGCAACGGGCGTATCATGCGCTCATGGCGCAGCTCTATTTTTTTAATGCGTAAATCGTTTTGAGCTTTGTTGTGTATTGACATTTATATTGGCATATGTGATAAAGCATAGATGTTTTACCAAGTCTTTCATATGTGTAAGTATCTAGTGTTACAGATGTGTGTTTATTTCATATACTGACAGTTTTTTTTATCTGTCCGCACATCATAGAATTTAAATGTTTAAAGGGTAAAGCTATGCAGACTTCAGCCCTACCTACTGTAAATTTTTTCTTTGTTGATTTACTCATTATAACATTGCCTAAAACAAAATTTATCAAACTTTAAACTTATTTGAAGAAAAGGTAAAAATCAGAGGAATCTGCATGGCTTCAACCCATTACGTCACACAAGTAAAGGTTGCTTGTTCATTCGTTATGGTAAATTGTTGGTTGTGGTGTACTGTTACAAAATAATTGTGAACTTATGTTGATCCTAATTTACTTATGTAAATAAATGTAATATTTTGTTAATTGTAAATATTACTTCGCTTATCTTTACAATGCACTATGTAAAACAATAGTTGCAAATGTAACTTTTTTTTGTCTCGCCGCTATAAATGAGACATAATTGCTTACATCCACTTCATTTGAACTTTGTGGGATGGTTGTCTCATTGCCAATCATAACACATCTCCTTATTTTTATATATAGGTATCACTTTTCCGACAGCGGCGTTGCCAATATGCAGATAACCTCAATATCCCTCTGTAATAGTTATACACCGAGGGATAGGTGTGTCTGGATAAGAAACCCCGACGGCCGGAGGCCGGAGGGGTTTCTTATCCAGACACGCCGTATCCCGAGGTGTATAACTAACTTACACCCCATTCTAAACCCTATATTTGTTAACATTGATTATTAAATGAAAAAAAAACAAAAAAAAACGATAGCATATTTATTGACAATTTCAAACCATGATTTATAAGAATATTTTTTTCTCACATGAAACCCCACTAGTAACCTCTCTTTGGTTATCTTCGTTCAAACTTTGACAAGTGAGTATATTTTACAAATGTCAAAGTTGTTTTGCATATTCCCGTTAAATCCATGTGCTAATATGGATCAGCAGGTCAAGGTTGACTGTTACGTGTATTCTTATTACAAACAAAAAATACATCATGCTCCTGGTATACAGTTGTCAATATGGACGGGTATAAGACGGACGACATTTTGTGGCAAGCGTTGGATTTGGTAGAAGAGACTAAAGATAAAGGCAATATTATAACCCAAAGTACTTACCAGTTTAATAAAGGTAATCATAACTGTATTTTATATCTTACGATTTTATCAAAAACAAAAGCCCCCCCCCTCTTCTCGAGAATAAACAAAAAATCATATTCGAACATACTAAGGAATAGGTGTGTCTGCATTAGAAACACGACTACCAGACACGCTAAACATACAAAATTTAATGTAGAGGAACTCCCTTTTTGAGGCAATCAGGGGCTGATCCAGCCATAGGTTCCCAACTCAAGAGAAAAAGGAGGGGGGGGGGGGGGTTCCAACCATTCAAATGCATTGATCTTTTAAATAAAAGTCGTGTCCAATCCGCGGAACCCCAGATCGGCCACTGGGTAACCGTGGGTGGGTGGGTGGGGTCGGGGGGGGGGGGGGGGGGGGGGTCGAGAGATAAGAGACATATGACTCGGATAAAAAAAATTACCTTCAAGCAAAGGAGTATTTAAAGGATTATTTTTTTATTCCATATAGATGCTTATTGGAATTTCCTAAAATGTGTTTTTTTAATATCATGAAACAATTTGTAGTGAACACTATTAGAAATTTCTTATGTTCATGCTATTTAAAAAAATAATCAATTTCTATTGTTACGAATAACAATGGACTTTGTTTGCGGGATGTAGAAGCAGGGGTTTCCAGAAACCCCGCTCGTCACACCCTGTGGTCAATGTCCATTGTTATTCGTAACAATAGATCTATTCAATTTACACTTGTTTCAGAAATAGAAACTATGAAGTATAACAATAGAACTGGGGTGTAAGTAATTATCACCACTTGCACTTAGGATGACACAACATTGCATTGAGGTAGTTTATGTTATATAGATACAATGGATAAGCGTGGATTCTTGAAAAAGAAACCATGAGCCCGGAGGGCGAATGGTTTGTTTTTCATGAATCTACGCTTATCCATTGTATCTATAACTTAAACTATTGTGTTAATTTCTTTTCAAAATTAAAGCCTTTTCTTAATTAGAAGGTATTGTAAGTGAGTTTAAATAACCATGTTATCGTGTCCAACGATGCATTGATAAATCTCAGATCACAATTAATTGGTTAACAAAATATAAATATATTAATAACACTTCTACATTTAAAGATCTTTATATTATCAGGCATCTGAATATTATCTGCTTTCACAAAATAAGACATATTCGAACTTATTTCTAATAAAATTGAGAATGGAAATGGGGAATGTGTCAAAGAGACAACAACCCGACCAAAGAGCATATATAAAGTATATATAATAAGCATGTTACCGAAGTTTCTAGCACTCTAGCCACATCACGATTTTCTCCCATAGGAATTTGCGAACAAACATTTGTAAAATTATGTAGTAAAACAGATGAAATCATACTATATTTATACAACAAAAATTGACAAATAGAATGTAATCATTTTTGTTTCAAACATGTGAAATAGCCAATAATAATCCAAAAAATAAACGGTAAAACTCGCTATTATTACAAAAATATCCACTATAACATGCAAAATTAGAAAATACGACTACCCATTGTGTATATATATAAAGGTACAACCCCTGTGTGTCCGATGTTCATTTATATATATAAAATAGACATCTAAGTTGTAACCCATTGGTAGCCGAGAGGTTTCGTCGATGTGTTGATGTCAGTCATTCATAACAGATTTCAAGGAAGGGTTCGATTCCCAGTGAAGGCATATACAAATTACAAAAATTAAAGGTAAGTTTTTAAATTAATTTCATTAGTGAACAGAAATCAGTAAATTAGCCAATTCAAACTTAATGAAATAAGACACACAAAGGAAACAATTGAATATAATTTGGTGAGTCCATTTCAGCGGCAGATTTAGGAAGCGTTGATTCTAGAAAAAGAATCCACGGTAAATGAATAGGCTGACGTCACCACAATGGTTTAAGGTGAATTCTTGTCAGCCGGTTATTGTCACGTCAGCCGGTTATTGTCACCTGACCTTGACCTCTGTATCATGCTCCATTGGTCAAGATTTCTGTTCCTCAGTTATTACATATTATTATAGTTTTTGTCGAGCCTGCGACTTTTGTCGTAGAAAGCTCGACATAGGGATAGTGATCCGGCGGCGGCGGCGGCGGCGGCGTTAGCTAACTTCTTAAAAGCTTTATATTTTAGAAGCTGGAAGACCTGGATGCTTCATACTTTGTATATAGATGCCTTATGTTACGAAGTATCCGTCTGTCATATGTCCATTGTACTTGACCTCATTTTCATGGTTCAGTGACTACTTGAATAAAAAGTCAACATTTTTTGTAATGTTAATTTCTTTCTTATTATGAGTAATAGGATAACTATATTTAGTATGTGCGTACCTTGCAAGGCCCTCATGCCCGTCAGACAATTTTCATTTGACCTCGACCTCATTTCATGGATCAGTGAACAAGGTTAAGTTTTCGTGGTCAAGTCCATATATCAGATACTATAAGCAGTAGGTCTACTATATTTGGTATATGGAATGATTGTAAGGTGTTCATGTCCAACTGGTAGGTGTCATCTGACCTTGATCTCATTTTCATGGTTCAGTGGTCAAAGTTAAGTTTTTGAGTTTTAGTCTTTTCTTCTAATACTATATGCAATAGGTCAACTATAAATGGTGTACGGAAATATTTTATGATGTACATGTCTGTCTCACAGGTTTTATTTGACCTTGACCTCATTTTCACGGTTCATTTCTCAGTGTTAAGTTTTTGTGTTTTGGTCTGTTTTTCTTCAACTATAAGCAATAGATCAACTATATTTGATGTATGGAAGGATTGTAAGGTGTATATGTCTGTCTGGCAGGTATCATCTGACCTTGACCTCATTTTCATGGTTCATTGGTCAATGTTAAGTTTTCATGGTCAAGTTTGTTTCTTAGAAACTATAAGCAATAGGTCAACTATATTTAATGCCTAAATTGATTGTAAGGTGTACATGTCTGTTTGGCATGGTTCATCTGACCTTGACTTCATTTTCATGGTTCATTGGTCAACTTTAAGTTTTCTTGTTTAAGACTGTTTCTTAGAAACAATAAGCAATAGGTCAACTATGTTTGGTTTATTGAATGATTGTAAGGTGTACATGTATTTCTCGTTTGGTTTATCTGACCTTGACCTCATTTTCTTGGATCATGTTAAGTTTATGTGTTACTTGTAGTAAAGCTTTGTATTTAGGACTATCAACATAAAATCAATGGTTAGTAAAGAAGGCGAGACATTTCAGCGTATGCACTCTTGTTCAATATTTGGTATGTAGTTTAGTTACGAGTATTATTTTTCTGTCTGACATATGCCATATGAAATACACCCCATTTTCACACTCTTGTGGTAATGTTAATTTTTCAGCACGTTAAGCAACCAACAATTCATCAATCAATCAATCAGCACGATGTCTGTACCTAATTAGCTATACATGATAGTTCAACAATATTTGGTATGTGGATTTGTTATAAGGGATTTATATACGTCTGACATATGTCATGTGACCATGGCCTAATTTCAGGTTGTCATTGAAGTTATAGCTCAGAAAGTATACATGATAGACCTGGGACTATTAGTATAATAGTCCCAGGATAGACTAATGTTAACCTTACAGTTTTCATTTAATGAGTGAGTTGTCCCGAGTTTATTGCCTTTTAGAAATAATTCGAATACTGAAGGCGAAACAGTTCTTGTGTCAACTCGTATTGACATAGTTATTCCGATAAAAGTACGTCATTTAAGAATGCAGCTGTATATCATTGAGATACTATTGTGTTACGTTTTAAATGTTGCATGATCATTATGTTTATTAAGAAATAGAAAAACAAGTTGCTTTCTTTAAAAAAAAGAAAAGCAACACGTGAACCCGAGCCCGCTGACTGGTCATAAAAAAATGTTGGTTTTTTTTTTTGCTTTTGATTTGAAATCATTGGCTGTGACTAGAATAATGTAATGATGATGTTAAAACACCTTTATTGAAAATATGTAAATGTGTGTAGATTCTTGCACATGTCAATTGAAGGCAATGTTTGATTTTAGTTGTGAATAGACAAAGTGTATATACAGCTACTATTTGAATTTACCTTTTAAGGCTTGACTATTCTATTTATTACATGGGAGTGTACATAATTTTTTCTTAATCCTATTAAAAATCCCAGTTTCTGCAAACCGGATGTCTAATACAAATTGCAGAAACCAACCGCAATAGGAATTTAAACACTCAGTTTGCTTCATAAGCTGGATGCATTTATTTTATTTATCATATCT